AATTTACAGAGGAGAAAATTGAGATCTCAAGAAGCCAAGTAATTTTCCTAAGGTGACATTGATTTTTGTTGTTGTTGCTGTTTTTTTAAAGATGACTGGTAAGGGGATCTTAACCCTTAACTTGGTGTTGTCAGCACCATGCGTTTTTGTTGTTGTTGCTGTTTTTTTAAAGTTGACTGGTAAGGGGATCTTAACCCTTAACTTGGTGTTGTCAGCACCATGCTCACCCAGTGAGCTAATCGGCCATCCCTATATGGGATCCGAACCTGTGGCCTTGGTGTTATCAGCACCACACTCTCCTGAGTGAGCCACAGGCCGGCCCCTTGAGGTGATATTGTTAATAACAGAACCTGTACTAGAACCCAATTCTACTGATTCTTAGTCCAGTGCTCTCTCTGGTAACTCACTGACTCATGCAGTCCTAGTTTCCTGCTCTATTCTAGAAATTACATTCCTTAACAGAAATCTCCACATTTCTTTATGTTGGTGTATAAACCTACATGCCCGTGTCAGTGAGCACACATGTGAATGTCTACGTGTCTATCTGCAAGTACTTGTAAAGCATTTCACTGGGTGTTTATGCCCTTTAGGTAGGGAAACCTCTTGGTAATTACATTTTTCTATGTTGGCACCAGCAGTGAAGTCAGGGGAAGACCTTCTGAGTCAATCATTAATAAGCAGACTTGGTTCTTTCTCTAATCAGCTCTATTCTTTGGTCTTCAGGAAATGGGGAAAAATAAACAGGGTGGAACCAGACTCTCCCAGGGTCAAACTTGGCTCCAGGGCACTGAAAGCAACTACAAACAAGGCTATAAGGGGCTGTAACAGAGTAGCAGTGGACTGTCTCTGCAATGAGCATATGCTCAAGCTAACATGGATACCATCTTGGTCTTCAGCCTAATCATTGCATCCTATGATACCAATGAGAAAGGTAAGTGCTACTCTATCCTAATATCCCGGAAAATCCGAAGAAAGCAGTTGGGATCTTTTTCTACCAAATAGAGATATAGCTGATACCGAGCAAGTAATACTTTCTGGAAGTCATCCCTTGGATTCTCCTTCCTCTAAGCAGGACTGCAACTTATTCAACCCAGAGAGATAGTGTCTGTTTGATAATGAGAAGTCTTCAGAGAATGTGATGCATTCTTCTGTCTTGTTCATGTAACTTACACTGTTAGATGTCCTTTCACTGTCAGGTGGCTTTCTTTACTAGAGGATACCATCACAGTTTCAGTAGTGTCATCACCTAAGACTCCCAAAGTCATAGCTGTTCATAAGATGTTGCCTTCATTTTGAAAGTGGTACATCCAAATAGTTACATGGGAGGCTCTTGGGTGAGCTGAGGGAAAGGGAGATATAGGAGTGGAATAGCACCATTTGCTGCTCTTTGGTAACTATTTAAAACATTATTTTTCTTTTTTTTTTTTTTCCTTTTTGTCTTTTTTCGTGTCCGGCAATGGATCGCAACCCTCGGTGCTGCGCCCGCACCTCGCTCAGCCAGTGAGCGGGAACCGGTCTGTATGTGGGATCCGAACCCTCGGCGGGAGCGCTGCTGCGCTCCCAAGCGGCGCACTGTAGCAGTGCGCCACCGGGCCGGCCCTAAAACATTATTTTTCAAAGTTTCTCAAACATTTCATCTCTCAAATTAGCTAATCAGATTCATGGCCAAAGAACATAAGGTACAGAAGTAACAAATTTAACAAATTTAAAAAAGTTCACAACACCCTATGAATGTGCCAAAAAGCATAA